CCCCGCAGGACTCCCAAGGCTACCTCCAGGTCCTGGAAGAGGCGCCAGTTCCCCTCCCACTTCCGGACGGCCTCAAAGAGCTCCTCGTGCCTCTCAAAGTGGAGCCTGATCCGTGCGATTTCCTCCTCATGTTGCTGTAACAGCTCCTCAGTAAAGTCGTCTGCAAAGGAGGAGGAGGAGGAGGGAAAAGGAGATGACAAGAGCCGCCGAGGGCAGGGAGGACAGAGTGCGGGCAACTACCGGGCAGGGACTCACCCTGGTCGTACGGGCCGAACGCCTCCCTCTGCTCCTTGCCGTAGAAGCACTTGTCCCAGTAGTCCGCCAGCTCCACCCGGATGGCCTCCACCATGTTTCGGATATTCTGGAGCTTCAGTGTTTCCAGGCGATTCAGTTCTAGCTGGAGCTAAAGACGGACAAGATTGGAGTTGGCTCTCAAGCGAAGCGGGGAGTGGTCTGGTCAACCCCCCCCCCCTCCATGTTCTCTGCACGATGCAGGAGAGTCCAGCGTCTCCTCTGCTTGTGGAATTTGAAGCAAAACTCCTGAAGGGATTTTGTTCTGGCTGTAAATTAGCAGCCTCCCCTGGAACTGACTGCCCCGCCAAAAATGGCACCTGTCTGTCTGATCCCTAAAATCATAGAGTTGGAAGGGATCTCCAGGGTCATCTAGTCCAACCCCCTGCACAATGCAAGGAATTCACAAATACTTCCCAAAGGCAAATTCAGTATAAGGCGGCTTCATGCACTCATGTGTACACAGGACAGAAGGAACCCAGACCCGTCCATTGTAACCTGTAACTACAGGCTTCCTCGGGAGGTGGTGGGCTCTCCTTTTTGGGAGGTTTTCAAACAGAGGCTAGGTGGCCCCATCTGACAGCAAGGCTGATTCTGATCACGAGGGGGGGGGGCAGGAAGGGTCGCATCAGTGCTAAGTTTTGTGCCTGGCCCCTTTGTGGTGGGGCCTGCAGGCACAACCCAAGATCTGGGTCCATTTGACTTTGGCAGCAGCACCAGCAGGCTTGGAAATAAGTGAGGGGACCTTGCCCAAATAGATTAACAGAAAAGTGAACCAATGAAAGTGTCTACTTGAATGCCAGTTTGAATGTAAGATTCCTATATAGGATTGGTTCGAGGAAAGACTAGAGATCTGAAACATTTAAATATCTGGGAAAAGTGTTGAAAGAGAGATACAGATTGGTTGAATTTGGAGCAGACTGTTTTTGACAATACAAGACTGTTAGAGGGAGATAGACTGAGAGAGTCTGGAGCAGGCTGCTGTGCGGAAATCTTATCGACCTTTGGGTTTTTTCTATGAAGGAATAAGTGGTTTTTTATTAAAGTAAAGGTAAAGGTTCCCTTGTTTGAAAGCCGGTCAAATACGACTCTAGGGTTGCGGTGCTCATCTCCGTTTCAAAGCCGAAGAGCCAGCGCTGCCCGAAGACGTTTCCGTGGTCATGACTAAACACCAAGGCGCACGGAACGCTGTTACCTTCCCAACGAAGTGGTACCTATTTATCTACTTGCAATTTCTTGCTTTCGAACTGCTAGGTTGGCAAGTTTTTTTGTTTTTTTTAACCAGACACTAAATGACATTATGGCTCTAATGTAGTCTCTTTTGTTATTGTATTATGCTGTGGGTATCTAGCACACATCTGGATAACTTTGCACATCAGACTGTTTTGGGGATTGTGTGTTATTCTTGTGGATTGACAATCCAGGATCCTTACGGCACTGAGGGTCTGGCTCCTGGATCCCGCCATGCAGGGGACAAAGGACTCTCTCTCTTCCGTCGGCACCCGCAGCCGGTCCCAGAGCACCAGGATCTTGGAGCGCAGCTCTTCACACAAAGCCTCATTCTGAGCTTTCCTGACCTCCAGCTGAAAGACAGGAGAAAACCAGCTGGGGTGGAACCGAGGACCGAGCGGGAGGCGGCTTGGCCCAGACGGCCTTCCAAGTGCCATGACCCCCGCCCTCCCCGCACCTGTCGCAGCAGTTCTTTCAGGGCGGCAATGTTCTCTTCTGAGAGGCAGAAGGCGTCCTCGTCCTCACACACGACGTCCCGCTCGAAGCTGGTGTCGGGGACGTGCTCCAGCTCCTCCATGCAGAGGACGATCTTCCGCTTGGTGCCCACAAACTCTGCTTGCCGGCGCTCCTGGGGGCCCAAGCAGGGAGTCAGCACCGCCCAGGGCTGCCTCCCCCCAGACCCCCACCACATCCACCCAGCTGACCTTCTCTGCCCCCAGCGCTGCCAAGTGCCGCTGGAAGCAGTCCAGCTCCTCCAGGGTGGGCACCGCATTGGCGCAGATGCCGGCGGGCGCGCGAGAGAGCAGGTCGCACAGCTCCAGCTCCTGCTCCCGCAGGGCCTGCAAGGCCTGCTTGCGCTCCTGCTTCTGCTTCAGCAGGGCCTCCACGTGGGTGCGCAGGACCTTCTCCAGCTCCAGGATGGTCGCCTCCCGGTCCTCCTGTGGGGGGGGGGGAAGGGGAGGAGGAGAAGAGGAGGAAGGACAAAGGCCATGGGGGGGGCTCAAGGGGGCCCAGGACGGCCCCTTCCCCCCTCCCCCTCGGGCGCCGCCCCTCACCTGGAAGGGCGCCAGCTGCAGCTCCCGGCAGAGGGTGGCCAGCTGGCCGCGCCACACCTGGATGCTGCGCAGGAGGCGGTTCTTGAGGCTCTGCTCCTCGGCGATCATCTTGGCCAGCAGCTCCTGCGGGGGGGGGGCCGGGAGGAGAAGTCAGCCAGAGCCCTCCCCCCCCTGCTCCAGGCGCTGCTCCTCGGGGATGCCGATCTCCTCCCAGATGTCGCGCAGCTGCCCCAGCGCCTCCCGCAGGCACGACACCGACTCGTCGGCCAGGCCCTCGCTGCGGGGACGGAGCGGGCAGGCGGTCACCTCGGGCCGCGGGAGGGACCACCCGAACCACCCACCCGACCGCCCGGCATGGTGCCCGCCCGGTCCCCCCACCTACCTCCGCCGCATGCCTGCCCTCCTGCCTGCCTGGCCCGCGCCCCGCCTCCCTTCCGTCCCGCCGGTCGGTCGCTCGGTCGGTCCCTCCGGTCGCTCGGCGTCCCACTCGCGGCTCGTCCCTCCACCGACGGCGCCGCCTCGGATTCAAATCGGGCCCCGCCGCGCCCCGATTGGCCGCCGCAGCCAGGCGCCGCCCCGCCCACAACGGCCCTCGCCGAGGCTGGCGTCCCACCCAATGGGGCGCCGAGGGCCCTTTCACCGCGGCCAATCGGGCGCCGGGAAAGGGAGCGCGACTGTCCCGCGAGCGCATGCGCACTGGGCCGGACGAGGCGCGTCCTCCTGGCCTCCTCCCCCGTCCCCCTCCCTCCGCACCCCCGCTTCAGTCTGCGCATGCCCGAAGCCTTGGGCTGCCGCTCGCCCGCGCCCTCTACAGGGAAAGGAGCGTCCCGGCGCGCTTCGCTGCGGCGCGGAGGAGGCTGCCTGCCGCCCCCCGGGATGAACCTCCGGACGAACGGCGCACCACGGGCGGGGCTGCTGGGGGCCGAGCGAGCAGGCGTGGGCACGGCCACTGAGCGCTCAGGGCCCCCTCGGATTCTCGCACCTGGGCTCTGCCTCAAACCCCCCCCCCCCTTTAAAGCTCTGCGTTGTCCTTTGCGGCATCTCTGGCCTGCATTGCTACATGGAGATTTGGGGGGGGGGTGGAGCCTGAGGAGGGCGGGATTTGGGACTTCAGTGGGGTTGGTACAAGGCCATAGAGCCTCTCTGCCACAATGGCCATTCTCTCCCCGCCAGCCACCATCTGGAGGGTAGTCAAGTTGGCAACCCCTGTGCGCCCACAGGTTCTAGTCTTATGGGAGGGGGGGGAACGCCCCCGCTCTGCACTCCCCCACCTGTCCTTAGTGTCATAGAGGTGAAAGGGACCTCCAGGGTCATCTAGTCCCACCCCTTATACCCACACACACACACACACCCGTGACCCCTGCTCCTTGCCCAGAAGATGGCAAACAAAACCCTCCAGGATCCCTGACCAAACTGGCCTGGAGAAGACTGTGGTGATGAGCATTTCCCTGGGCGTGTAAGAAAGGGCCACAGGAACTGAGCCCCGAGGCAACCCTTCCTGCCCTCCCTTCTCGTGATCTGCCTAAGTTCACAGAGTCCGCACTGCTGTCAGATGGGGCCAGAGAAGGAGAGCCCACCACCTCCCGAGGAAGCCTGTCCCACCGAGGGACCGCTCTGTCAGGACGTTCTTCCTATTATCTAGCCGAAAACTCTTTTAATTTCAGCCTGTTGGTTCTGGTCCAACCTTCTGGGGCAACTCCATACCATCCTCTATATCAGGCATGTCCAACTTCGAACAGGGAGTGATCTATTTTTTCCGGCCAAAAGTGCCGGAGATCTACCACCATGAAAATAAAGTTTCAAATCAGATTTTAACCCACTAAAGTTGGGTTCCACCACGCCCCCCCCCCTTTATAATGCACCTTCTGTCATTGACTGGTAAGCAAAATAAACAAAAACAAAACAGAGAGACGAAGATCCAGAAAGAACTGCGAACATTTTTTATTTTTTATTTATAACTTTCTTTAACTGTGGGGCTGGTGATCTACCTCTGACCCCTCCGCGATCTACCTGTTGGACATACCATCCTCTAGACGACAGTCCTCCAGGTACTACTTGAAGATGGTGATCCTATCCCCTCTCAGTCGTCTCCACTCCAGGCTTAGACATCCCCAGCTCCTTCAGCCTTCCCTCACATCTTCGCTGCCCTCCTCTGGACACATTCCGGCTTGTCTATGTCCTTAAATTGTGGTGCCCAAAACTGAACACAGTACAGCTAGGTGAGGTCTAACCAGAGCAAAGAGATACCCTCACCTGGTGTGAACCTCTCTCCTGCCCCCCTCCCCCCAGCGCTCTTCTTTGGAAGGAAGGGGCTCCAACCCCCCTTCATCGCCTTGGCTGCCCGGCTCCTCCTCTGCTGCTCCGGCGTCTCCTGTGTGAGAGAGGCGGGCCAGAACAGCGCAGGGAATTCCTTCCTGATGCTGCACCGGAGCACTAGACGGGGCCGCTCCCGGACTGCCAGTTGGACTTCCCGTTCCTTCCCTGAGGTCCCAGGCAGTGCGACTGGAGACAGGCCTCTGAGCCCAACGGGGGCCGTGGGTGCTCCGGTGGGTTCCGGCCCGGAGCTCTCCCCCAGGTCTGCCGGGAGAAGGGGCTCCTCCCCGCCCGCTCCGAACTTGACCCGAGACCCTCAGGCACACCCAGCCTCTCTGCCTTCCTCCCCAGTGCTGCTGTCCCCGGCTGGCCGGTTGTGGGGCCTGAGCCCTGTGGGGGGGAATGCAAGGACCCCCTGCCCGAGCCGAAGGGGGCAAAAGGGAGGGGCTCCCTCACCTGGTGCTCAGCTTCTTCCCGAGGGAAGGCCTGATCTCTGAGGGGCTCGCTCTGTGGATTTTGGGCAGTGGCCATGGGACTCCCCCAGGCCCGAGAGAATGCTTCTGGCCACCCAGTGAAGGGCATCTGCCACTGCGCAGAGTGCCAACAGCACTGTCCCACGCACGTCCCGGATGGGCTGCAGGTGCCAGGGGCCTCCCACACTGGCAGCGGTTGGGCTCACGGAGTTCAGCTGCGGATTGTGTGTGTGTTTGGGGGGGGAGGGGGGACTCGCTCCCATCTGGAAGATCCTGTGGTCACTGAGGCAGCCAGGAGGCCCAGAGCTTTCTGTAAAAGTAGTCAGTGAGACGAGGTCTGATCTCTTTCGCTTTACTCCTTCCCGTGCCTCCAGGAAGACATCTGTATTAGGCTCAAGAGCTCTTTGCTTCCGGAACCAACTGTGCCACTAAGGAGGCCACTAAGAGGCAGCTATAGTGAGCATTTTTTTGGTTTTCTGTGCATTTTAACTGCCACTGAACTATAGGCCTTGTTTTTAAACCTTCCCCCTAAACTCCTTCAATAAAGCTCTGTGTTGCTTTATGGTGTGTGCTACTCGGGGAGTTTCTGAGGCCAAACCCAGGTACAGCTCAGTTCTGTGACTGCACCAGGGCAGGGTCCTGTCCCAGCACTTGCAGCTGAGTAGCCAGAGCTGCCCCTTAGAAACCCTTCACCTGCCTGCATGATAAACACCGCCCACTGTTCAAGTGCCTGTCACCAAGTCACAGCTGTTGTTTTTAAGTAGCAAGGCCTTCTTTCCCCAACAGGTTAGAAAAAGAAGCCGCTCCTTTCTCAACAAGGCAGGACCCCAGGCACAAGCAAGCACACCAGCGGCAAGAGTTCTGTCACAGGCCATGATCCAACCACAAGGGGCACGCAGCCACGGCCCAGCCTGCCACTGAGTGGAAAGGGCCGTGTGCGTCTGTGACTGGAGCAAGGAATACCCAGGACGGGAACGGACGCGCCCCTTGGCCTGCAGTCCTGAGGAGAGTGGGAGGGGAGGAGGAGGAGGGCTGCAAACAACAACCACAAAGTCAAAACTGGCTTGGAAGGCAGAAGGGGGGGGGGGATGATGCTGGGCAGGAGCAGCATCTGGGGCGGCGCAGGGAAGAGAGGCCTGGGCGTATCAACAGCGATGGGCAGAAAGGCCCAGCCCCGGGCCCCAGAGAGGAAGCTGCCTCCCCCGCCCCCGTGCTGTGAGGGTGGGAGACGAAGGGCGGAGGCACAAGCGCCCCGGCGCCAGGGGTGGGTGGGGGAGCCCAGTGCCAGATCCAACCTCGTCACCCCATTCCCCCACACACACACATTCCCTGCTGGGATCTCTGCCCAGCTGCAGTTCTACCAAAAAAGGCAAAGCACCCAGGGGGGCAAGCAACAGCCTGCTGTCTTTCCCCGAGAACCCCTGAGTCCCAGCAGCTTCCGTGGCTCTCCGGGACCTGCCCCTGCGTTCCTTTCCTGCTCACCACCCCCCTGGGCCGGGCTCCTTTCCTCTGGCTGCCCTCGGCACGTGCCGCAGCTTCCCTTCCCGTTATAGAGCTCAGCAATCGAAGCCACATGGGCTGAAGAAGAGGAAAAGCAGCCTGTCTCTCTCTTCCCAGCCAGTCCTGGAGGAGCTCTCCTGCCCGTCCTGGCTTTGTGCAGAGCAGGGGCAACGGCAGCAGCTTCATGGGCACCTGACGACTCTCTGAGTCCTGGAAGGCAGGCCGGCAGGCAGGCAGGCAGGCCGCTGCCCCCCCCGCCTTGGGGGCTCCAGGTCCCTCCTCGGCCCGTAGGGGGTTCTGGGCTCCTCTCCGTAGGGGGTTCTGCAGCCACAGGGCTCCCTTCCGGTGTGGCCTCCTCCTCCTCCTCCCCACACCAGGGCCGGAGCTCAGGAGCCTCTTCTGCTGCCTTCACTACAGGGCCACCCCCCCCCCCGCCCTCACGGTGGCCCCAGCAGAGAGGGGCAGCCTTTCAGCCTCAGTCCTCCGGGTCAGCGGTTCACTTCTGCCACCCCCCACCCCCTCCCAGTAAGGCACACGCATCAGGCTGCACGCTTCACAACCGTTTATTCTGATGTCAGACCAAAACAGGAGACTCCGACCACACACCGCCCCCTCCCACGGCCAGCAGGGAAGCGGGAGCAGCGGGGTAAGAGTCGTCCCCCCACCACCACTAGAGGCAGGCAGAAGCACGTCACTCCCCGCAGGAGGACCAGGCCTGGTCTTCACCCTGAAGTGCTCCTTCCAGGGGCCGGCGGCGGTGGTTCCAGCGGGGTGCCAGTCAGAAGGCGGGTCACCCGGGGAGGAAGACCAGCACCCTCCTTCCTTCCTTCCGAAGCAGAAGGCCACCCCCCCCCCAGGCCCTCCGTCAAGCTCTGCTCTCTGTCATGGCTTCCAGCAACCGTGCACTGCTGGTGATGGCTGTGGTCAGGAACACAAACCTGAGCCCTAGAAGGAGCAAGGAAGGGGAGGGGGGGGAAGGGCAAGTCAAACACCGCCTGACAAGCGCCTGGCTGGAGCCACCGCCCACCAGACCCTTCCCACGGGCGGGCGGGAACGAGCCAGGTGGCTCCGCAAAGGTTTTGGGCCCCAGCAAAGGAGGCCTGCACACTGCGCCCCTCGGGAAAGCTGCCGCCTGCCCCCCCCCGGCCCCTGCTTTGCTCAGTACCTCTTTCTTTGCCCAGGAAGCGGAGCGCAGAGATCTCCGAGAAGGTGCAGCCCCCTAAGAAGACGGCCAGGATGATGCGCTGGGAGTCCCAAGAATTCTCCTCTGCCGCTGTGCCTGGGGCTGGGGGGGCACACAGAAGCACAGGACCCCAGTGAAGCAGAGGAAGCCGCCAACACTTCCCCCCCCCATGACGGGCCAGAGGCCCTCGCTCGCGGGGGGGGGGCAGCCGAGGGGCTCCGCAGGGGTCTTTCCCCACATCTACCGGACACATCAAGGGCAAGCGGGAGCCACGGAGCAGAACGACCTCCGAGGACAGACCGCCCGAGTCCTCTTTCCAATCCCAAGCAGGAGGAATGCTGGCGCATCCGGATTCTGCCCCTCACTACCCGAGTGGGAAACAGCAAACCCGGCCAAGGAAGGACAGGTGGGGAACGATTCGGGGGACTAGCCCAGGACTCCGGGCCAGATTTGAAATTGGGCTTTTATCCCATTTGGAGCTCCTTTCTACATTTCTGTATGAATTGTTTATTTAACTTGCATTAAAGAGTCTTCCATGAATGCTGAAAGGGATTAAAAACACAGCAGCTTCCATTGGCTTAGGCCTGGGAGATCATACGTGCTTTTGGCACTGGGCAGTCTCTCTCGTGGGAGCAGGTTCCGGGGCTGGGGGCCTATATCAGGAGGACCCTGCAAGGACGAAGGGGCAGCCCTGAAAAGCGGCGGCAGCGGCAACAAAAGACACTTGCCTGCGGCAGCGAACTCATTCCCGCTCAGCAGGCGCACGGCCTCCTCCAGGCCCTGCCAGCTCCTCCGCTCCAGCACCTGGCAGGCAGAGAGGCAGGAATCAGGCGGGAGGTGCCTAGAGGGCACTTCGGCCTCCGCCCACCCAAGCCCCCGCAAGAAGAACAAAGAGGGCTCTCGCCCGCAGGAGGGCCTTCGCGGGCACCTGCTCAACCATCTTGCAGCTCAGTGGGGTGTAGGCACCGCTGAAGACGTAGGCCATGTCCTGGGGCACCTTCAGATCGTACTCTCCAGCCACGCGCGGGATCTGGGGGAGAAGGAGAAGAAGAGATTGGATTTATATACCCCATGGCCCTTCACAACCCAAAGGTGTCTCAGAGCGGCTTACAAACTCCTTTCCCTTCCCCTCCCCACAACAGACAGACACCCTGTGAGGTGGGGTGGGTGGGTGGAGAGAGCTCTTAAAAGAAACTGCTCTTTTTCAAGGACACCTCTTATCAGAACTACGGCTAGCCCAAGGCCATCCAGCAAGGTGCAAGTGGGGGAGTGGGGAATCAAACCTGGTTCTCCCAGATTAGAGTCCGCACACTTAACCACGACACCAAACTGGAGCATCATGCCACATCGTCCACTCCCTCCGGGCCCCTCTTCCCCCAGGCCCGTACCCACCAGCCCCAGCTTCTTGCTAACGGCACGGAAATTGCTCTTCCTGGCCAGAGAACTGAAGGCGTCCGAGAGCTTCCCTGCAAGAGCAGAGCAGAGGGGGAAGGGGAGTCAGAGCCCGAGGCGGGGGGCAGCAGGTGTCTCCGGGGCAGAGGCTGCCTCCCGCAGCGATCTGGCCGCCCCCCATCCTTCCTGCCTCCCCCCCCCCGGTCCCCTCACCTGCCGCTCGGTCAGTCACCGCCTTGCTGACTTTGCTTTCCACGGCCGTGAGGGTCTCCCCAGAGACCTGCTCCGTGAGCAGCCCGATGCGCTTCAGGTTGTGAAAGGTCAGCAAGTGCTCCGGTCCGTAGCTCTGGCGGGGAGGGCAGAGGCGGCGTGAGGACGAAGGAGCCCAGCGAAGGAGAGAGCAGCACACGGGAAAGGCCGGGCAGCAGGGGAGCCATCACGGGGCCATGGCCCAGGCGTCGGAGGGGGACTCCAGGAAGGACCACGCCCAGCTCCTCACCCACCGCCCCGCCCCCAGAACCCTCACCTGCAGGTACTGAGTCCGGAGGGAGCGGTAGTCCTTGGGGCTGAGTCCTAGAGCAGCCGGACACAGGCAGAGAGGTCAAGGCACAGCCGGGGGCAGCTGGTGTGTTCCCGAGGCATCCCCCGCAAAACGGCACCTACCGTTCTCTGTGATGGACAGCAGGCACAGCAGACGCAGGCTGTCAGTGGGGGAGACCTGCCCAACAGCAGGGAGGGAGGGAGGGAGGGTGAGTGGACCCCTTGGCCTCCAAGCGTCTCCCCCCCCAATGCACGGCCCTCCCACCGGCCCGTCCTCACCTGCCGGTCGATGTGCTCTTCAATGAAGCCGATGCTCTCCCGGATAGCAAACCCTTCCAGAAGCGCTGGGGGGGGGGGGGGTGAGAGAAGGGGGGGAGGAACGGAGGTCAGAGCTGGGGCCACCTCCCATCAGGCCCCGCAAAGGGCTCCCTGCTTCGGCACCTTCCAGCCCCTCCACAGGTGTGGAGCAGGACTCAGGCCGGAGGCCAGCAACGCTCCTGGAAGGTCGCAGGTGCCCCCTCCTGAAGAAGCCAGAAAGAGCTGGGGGGGGGCTGCTGCTCCCCAGTTTGGAGGGGCAGGAAAAGCCCTTTGTAATCTTCTTCCTGTTCCCCAGGAGAATGGCCGCTTTTGGTATCCGGTACTGCCACAAACCACAGGCGTGACAGCTGACCCACAGCTATGGGGCCGTTCCAAAGGAGACCCCAGGCAGCGCTGGACTGCTATCGGCAAGGGACTTGGACAGTTCTCCACACACTGAAATGCACCCTGGGTGCGGCTTCCTTTTCATATGCCGTGCAGCAGGTCCAGATGGGCGGGCGAATCTCAGTGTTCCCTCTAAGCTGAGTTAGTGTGAGCTCGCTCACAGTTTTTTAGCCTCTGGCTCACACATTGTTTGTCTCAGCTCCGGAAGGATGTGGCTCCAGAGCAAACTAATTCATCACTCGCTCGCAACTTTCATGTCAGGAGCTCACAAAGTGGAATTTTTGCTCACCAGACCCCACAGCTTAGAGGGAACACTGGCGGCCGTGTCTGTCTGTCTGTGCCAGTAGGCCAGAGCCAGAGAGTCCAGCAGCCCCTGAAAGACCTAACACAATTTGGGGCAGGGGAGGAGCTTGCGGGAGTCACTGCAGTCACTTCTTCAGGTGCAAATGGGTTGCTGTCTTACTCTGTCTGTAGCAGTAGAAACGAGCCAGAGTCCAGGAGCTCCTTAAAGACTAGCACAATTTGGGGCAGGGTTATGAGCTTCTGTGAGCCACTGCTCACTTCTTCGGGTACTTCAGTATCTAAAGAAATTTATTTATTTGTTTGTTTTATTTTATTAGTCTTTTTACCCTGCCCTCCCCGCAAGCGGGCTCAGGGCGGCTTACAAGAGGGCAACAATGCCCACGTATAAAACAAGACTAAAACAACTTAAAACAAAAATGCAGAAGTGAGCAGTGACTCATGAAATCTCCTGCCCCTGCCATCCACTCTGTTAGTCCGTCAGGTGCTCCTGGACTCTTGGCTCTTTTCGTACCCGAAGAAGTGACTGCAGTGACTCAGGACAGCTCCTCCCCTGCCAGCAGCTGTGCTCCTGGACTCTCTGGCTCTTTCCCCCTCCTACCGGCAGACTGACAGGGCCCCCCGCCCAACCTGGATCCATCTCCATGGCAGCGAGAAGCTGTGTGTGTGCCAAAGGGCCGGTTCTGTTCTGCCAAGCAGTCCCAACACACACGGCAGTATTTGGAGACGTGTTGTTGGGCAGAAATTCCACGGCGGTATCCTGGAGACCTGCGGCATTCACTGGGAAGCCAGCAGAATACACGTCCGGAGGCTGGAGAGGCCAGTGACGCCAACACCCACCAGGTGCAGGGAATGACCCGCTCTAGACACCCTTCCTGTTCAAATCAAGCACACGGCCGGCCAGGTCATACACTGGGGCAGTCCGACAGTAAACGGGGACGCCACGAAGCCCTGAGAGGTACCGGAAAATGTGCACATTCCCCAGCGGTGGCAGAGACAAGGTGACGAAGGAACGGCCAGTTGGCCGGGCCGCAATCAGGCCTCCGCTTACCGTGCTCTGTCTTCAGCAGCTCCTGGAAATCTTGTTTGGTTTTCTTCTTCATGATGGATTCACAGGCACCGATATCTGCAGGCGCAACAAGGGCTGTGCCTTGACCCACCGTCCGACACCCCCTCCCCCCCCCCCCAGCTCCTCTTCCTCCACCTCAAACACAGCCTCGCACCCCCACCCCACCCCCCGCCCCCCAGGGGAGGGAGGGAGGGAGAGACCTACGCAGGCTCAGCAGGCGATGTTCTTGCTTCAAGCCCTTCAGCTCCTGGGACACAAAGGTCTTCATCTGCTTGATATCCATCCCACGACGTCGCTGCAAGACGAGAGGGCATCACGTGACCAGGCAGCCCAGGGACTGCTCCCCCCTCCTCGTGGCCCCTCTCCCGCAAGCCTGCTCCCCCACCCCCCCGGCTGCTTACGTCGTACTGCGCCTGCAGATTCCGTGCCTTTTGGCTCAGGAACCCAAAAACGCTGGAGAAGTGCTCGTTGCGGATCTTGTTGAACACCTGTGGAGACGACACACGCGAGCTGGTGAGTGCCGGGACGAGGACCTGGGAGACCCACTCAGCCACTCAGCCCTGCCAGGTGCCCTCGGGCCAGTCCCGCCCTCGCAGCCACTAACCTATCTCTCAGAGTAGCTGTGAGGACAAGGTGGAAAACACTACAGTGGTGTGGGCCACTCTGGGTCCCCACTGGGAAGAAAGGCACAGTAGAAATCGATTCCGGTGGGTCACGTGTGGGTCTGAAGCAGCAGAGGAAAGTTTGGGCCCAGAGTGGCACCTTTAAAACCAACCGAGTTTTATTCTGGGCATCAGCTTCTGTGAGCACGCACTCTGACCAAGAATAAAACTCTGTTGGTCTTAGAGGTGCCACGGGACTCAAACTCGGTTCCATAAATGAAGTAAGTATCTAAAAGGTACGCGAGAGCTTGATGAGTCCCCAAGGAACCCTCAGCAGCAGCTGCCGCCTCTCTACAGGAAGCCGAATCCACACCTGACCCTCAGGACTCGCCCTCGTTCAGGAAGGCCCCCGCCTGGGCTCTCGGGAGCCCTTCGGTCTTCTCACCAAGCTCGCTTGTGCGCAGGGGGGTGGGGGGCGGCACCCAGCGGCAGCCAGACAGACCTTGTCCTGGGCATTCAGCA